GGTTATACGACGATCGAAATGATGTTGTTCCGCAAAATCTTAGATCTGATTGGTCCGCGTGACTCTAACTGTCACCTTTCATTTATTTTTCACATGCCAAGCATCACATTGTATGCTGTTAAAAGATGATCTTGTTTTTTGATGTACTGTATGTACGTACGTACAGTACATACTAAAACTTTGTGTGTGTATTATGTGTGTGTATATATGATTGGAAGTTCTGTTGATGAAAGCCGATTAATTAAAATATTCTATCTAATTCAGATTATACGTATTTCGTTATAATGTGAGGTTGCGAATGAAAATTTATATATTTCGAATATTTTAGCTGCCACATGCATTTACTAACCAGTGGTTTGTGTATACCAGGAACATAGTACGAAGTACGAAATGTATATTTCACAGGCAACTATTTTTGTGAAAAATCTTGCATTGGATAGCATGTTCACATGTTCGTATGTTGAGAAAGTCGTGACTAACACTTTTTAGGCTGAACCCAACTAAACTACTAAACTAATCTACTAAAATAATCCAACTAAGCTTTAAGACTCCTAAAATCTTGAATTGGAAGGCTGAAAGAGGGCGTGGAAAGACTTGGTCTGAGTTTCAAGATCTTTCGGGTCTTGTGGTGATGATTATGGGCCTTAGAGAAGACTTTGTATTAGGATTCTGCAAATGCCCATGCCGGGCATATTAGGCACCATGCCGGCACTAGTGCCGGTGGGTGCCATGCCAACGCCAGTGCCCCAAACGTGCCCGGCATTTTTAGACCAGGCACAAAGTGCCCATGCCTATGCCCGTGCTCATGCCAAATTAGTGCCTGTACCCAAAAAGTTTAGCATCGCTACAAAAAAATGTAACATTGCTCAAATTTTAGAAATATTTTGATGCAAGAAATCTCAAAGCTAAAATATAATTTAGCCTTTTATTTGATACGTAGTATATTTTATTTATTATGACAATTACGACAAGATAATTTCCATATCTATCATATAATAAAATACTTTTTCTCTGTTTTCACTTTTTTTTTTTTTGTTTTTCATGGACAAATGTTGGTATTTTCTGTACCCATGGCCTATAACTAGTAATAAACCGGTGGCATCAGTTTCACTGAATAATAAATAAATCTTTTTTATACCCACGGGCTAAGCTTACACAAAATAAAAAAAAAAGCATTTATAAATGTCACCTAAGAAACTGCGAAATAATCAATCGATCTTCGAAACAGGGTTGGCGATCATAATTTTCGAAAGGTAAAATTACGCGTACGATCTATAAGGCTTAGACGTCAATGCTGAAAGGTTCTAGCAATAAGGACGTGAAGAAGATTCATGAAGAAATTAGTGTAGAGAAAAAACCTGAACAATAAAATGAAACGATGTGCGAGATTAACAAACATGTGCAAGATGTAGTAAGAGTTGTAAGGATCTCCTCTTTAAGCCCTTTCATTAAATTGTTATAAAAAGCTTATGTTTTATCGCTGTAGAACGGGAGTGATTCATAAGTAATAATAAAATAACTTAATAAAGTCCTTATAAACCCTTCTGCATAAGATCATAATAAAAGAAGAACATATAAGTTTTACTAAATCACCATAAGCACGCCCCTGGCAAATTGCCTATATTCCAAAATTATATAAGTTTCATTATAAACGTAAAAACTTTAATTTCACCCCGTAACAATTCCTTTATTCTTACTCCCTGATAATTAAATTGTATAAGTGACATTAAACTTATAAAATATTGGTGCAAAAATTAAAATTACACTTACTTTTTAATCCATTCTTCCACACCAATTCCATAATAGTAACAAATAGTGGTTTTAAAGATTCTAATAGAATTATTCATTTCAGCTGATTTTATGTAATGCTCGAATGCTTTGCATAACAACTTGATACATTATTTCCTGCGTTCCCTGATTTTTCATACCAAGTAAATGCCTTAAGTTCGTCCTTTTCAACTCCAATTCCATAAAGATAAAATTGGCCAACTCGATAAATCTTATAAGGATTATTTAATTCAGCAGATTTTTGATAGTATGTGATGTATATCAAATACAAATTTCTTGATTACCTTGGCTTCATATTTGGTCTATATATTAATATTTTTAATAGCTTTCCTAATAATAATAGCATAGCTCTGCAAATGCCAAACACGGGTTAAGATAGTAAATTAGTAAGTCAAAGTACTATAATTAAAATGCTATTATATTACATAATTGAATGATATATATATAGAGTTGAATTAGATCATTATTTCTCGCTTCTGTAATGCATTTTATATAATAAAAATAATAATTAGTAATTGTATTTTAATTAATAATTAAATTAAGAAAAAATATAATTTTACATAGTATCATCAGTAATAATTAGAATTGTATATATATACCTTCTATTTTCAGTATTAATTTAATAAATATTATTGTTTTTTACTTATATCATGTATAATGGAAGACTTAAATGATAATTTTGTGTCTAATAATTTCGTATCTAATAATTCTGTGTCTAATAATTCTGTGTCTAATAACTCCATGTCTAATAATTCCGTGTTGAATAATTCAACAAATTCTGATAACTCTGTTTCTAACACCTGTAGTAGTAATAGTACATATTGTACTAAAGATCATTGGAATATGATATTGAATAATAATAATAAAGCCTGGAAGTGTCGACATTGTCAAAAAAAAATATATGGATTTAATACAAGTAGAACTCATCTAAAGCAACATACAACATCTTGCCCTTATTCTCCTATATGTGAATCTTGAAATAATAAATCCAGACTTATTAAACCAATTACGAAAGATGAAATGGATAACTCAATTATTGATTTGGTTGTTGGAACTGGAATTTCATTTAACATCCTTGATAATCCACTATTCCATAATATGGTAAAAAAACTTCATAGTGTAGCCGATTCATATAAAATCTCACACTCAACTACAGTATTGCGGCATCTATCTGGAAATATATTTAGTAAAAGGTTAGAGTTCATAAAAAATATATTATTAAAAACTTCAGGTCGATTTTCGTTAACGTGTGATGGGTGGCATTTGACAGTTCACAGATGTCACTATACTGTAGTAACTGGATCCTGGATAAGTGATGACTGGCAACAAGTTAATATTATATTAAACTTCGAAAAGTCAGGTCAAACTGCCCAAGCCATAAAATCAGTACTATTAAAAACATTAGAAGACTATAATATTAAAGAAAAGCTATTTGGACTTACTATGGATAATACCACAACTAATAAAGCCGTAAGCCGAATTCTTCAAGCTGAATTGCCCTATACGAATATTGTATCAATCGGATGTATGTGCCATATTTTAAATTTAATAGTTAAAGTAGGCTTAACGGGAATAAATCACCTTCAAAAAAAAATACATAAGATCATGAAATATCTGGCTAATCCTTTATCTAATAGTCGTTTGGAACTATTAGAGTCATATTGTCGTATTGTTAAAATAGGCTTTTTATATCCAATACTAGAAATAGAAATTCGGTAGAATTCGACGTTAGCTATGTTCGAAAGATATATTTTTTTATATCCAGCAATTAATGAGATGTGTGCTAATAAATCTTTAACGTTACCTTGTTTAAGCCAAGAAGAATTAATAAATCTAAAATCAGTTTGTCAACTTCTTAAGCCCTTTGAATCTGCAACGTTGGTTCTCTCTAAGGATCGTTCAAATTCTATATCCGATGCTATAACAGTAATATTAGAGATTTCACAGCATCTCAAAAAGATTAATATTAATAATATGACTCATTTAATGATAAAAAAATTTGGAATAAAATTATTGATTATATTATAATCGCACATATACTTGATCCTAGATACAAATTCGAACATTTAAAAGCAACATTAATAGAAGTTGGGGGGTATAGTGATAGCGACGCTAAACAATTTATTGATAATATTAGACAAAAGGTTATCTTATATGGGAGGAAATACATAAATATACAATCACCTCCCACTACCAACAGTATTAATGAATCACCTCCTACTACCAATATTATCAATGAACTACTCCCCACCACTCAAGTTAACGATAACAATTCTGCATCTAATTTGTTGTTTCCTCCAAGACGAATTTCAAGAAAATATAATGCTAATACAATCAAGTATGAGCTAGAGTTATATGAAAAAGATCCCCCAGAAGAAGGAAATAATAGTGTTTTAATTTGGAATTCATTATCAAAAAAATTTCCAATTTTAAATAGAATGGCACGTGATTACTTCAGCATTCAACCTTCAAGCGTCACTAGTGAAAGGGCATTTTTGAGAGCTGGGTTCACTATTACAAATGATAGAGCAAATTTGAGTGAGAAAACTGTTGCAAGTACAATTCTTATGCATTCATGGCTTTTAGAAAGCCAAAATGAATTTAGTCCCCTTAATGCTCTTCCCGAATTATAAAAGATTTTTTTTTTTTTTTGCAATATTACAAACGTTGTAAAGATTTATGTAGTGTATTTGTCTTGCTATAGTAATGGGTAAAGTTTTATTAGAAATCATAATTTGCTAAATATGTATAAATGCTTAAAATACTATTGAAAAACTAACAAACCTACCGAATTATCATTTAGTTTTCTGCTGATTCACTTCACTTTACTAATTAATTTCTCTTCAGTTAACATACAAGTCACTCTTGTTATAGTGAAGTGATTGGGCTAAGAATAAAAATCTTTGCTATAGCTTATATCGAGAGAATACTATATAAGCATTATTTTATCAAGCTAAGAGTTAATAATAATGCTAATGAATTTAAAAAAATTCTTCCCTATATCAAGATCTTCGCTATATCGAGAGTTCACTATAATGAGAGTGGCTTGTATTACACAATAAAATTTATGGTAAATTTTAAATACCATAAAAAAAATTTTTTTTAATTAACCTATAGGTTCGCCAGACTTATTTCTTTAGTTGGTGTATCATTGAAGTAAGTTCTTTATTGGTTATTTTTATTTCTATACGTATTTGTGCAACTAATCTAATTATAGATAAGGTAAATTTTTATGCAAGATTATCTGTGCCAGGCACCATGCCGGGCACTAGTGCCCGTGCCAAAAAAAGTGACCGGCATTTTTAGACCAGGCACAAAGTGCCTGTGCTTATGCCCATGCCTTAAATTTTTTTGTTGAGCACGAGCATATGCCGGGTATACAGATCTCTACTTTGTATCTTTTTAATATTTGGTTGCTTAGATTATATTCAATACTTAAACTCTAATGCTTCTATATCTTTGATTTTAGAATGCTTTGGTCTTTTCGAGTCATGTATTACGTCACATAGATAGCTGTGGTAATCGGAAGTTTAATGTCGATTGATTGAATCTAAGATCTGTGTCACGAGTAGATCTATTGGAACTTGGATTTTGATTTTAACCGACGTCATGGGTAATTAGCAGTGGTGATCAGATTTCTAATTACTGCTTATATCACAAGGTTATGAGGTCACGAGTAATTATGATGATCAATCTTAATTAGTTTGATCAATTACTATACTGATTAGGGATGACAATGGTTCGATTAGATGGTCGGTAATGGTTGAGTATATAAGGGTTTGAATAAGAGTATTTTCTTTAGATAAAAGAGATTCTATGTAAGGTTTGATACTCTTTTAGTTATTGTCAAAGAAAATAAATTATGACAAGGACACGGGGACAAGGGCTTTCTTACAATAAGTATTTGTAAAAATGTGTTTTCTATAAGGATTACGATTTGGGGTTAACACTTCTACTTTAATTTCGACAGTGTTAACGAAACTTTTACTAAAATGTTTCTTACTAAGCGATAACTCTACACTAATTTCGGGACAGAAATATAGGTTTATTAGGGATGAATTGGGTCAAGGAGGTCAATTGTCAAGGAACAACTTCTACTACAATGATTTCGAAGTTTTCAAAACTCAAGTGAGTTCTTTATTTAAGACGAATTAGAAGCTCTTATATAAAGAATTTTACAGACTAGGAAGTAAGCAGTTTGCTCTCTTACTTTGCTTACTTCACTTACTTCCCTTACTTCTCTGACTTTGCTCACTTTCCTTACTAATTCTAACTATAAAAGGAAATACTAATCATCATAACTAAAAATATATATATAATAAAAAATATAGACTAAAAATAGAAATAGATGGCCTTCACAGCTGGACTTCAGAAATGTGACATTAATTTAGACTGTCACATCGTATGTACTATACATATGTCTTGTACTTTTTGGGTAGTTAGGCTGGTCATACATTGTTAAATTCTACTCAATAAAACAAAGACAGATGCATCTGTCTAAATTAGTAAGTTGATTTAGATCTGTTTTAATTAATATATATAAAGAAATGTATTAATTAAAATACATTTAGGACACTGACATTAATTATGTAATTTTTTAGGGGGTGGGGGGTTGAGCATGTACTATATTAATATTTTATGTTACACAAAGAAAATTAGTTGGACCAATTTCTTTTTAAATTGGCCAATCATATTGAAACTTATGTGAGGGGGGAAAGGGAAGCCCTCATAGTAAATGGAAATTATGTAATTAATGTTAGCGCCCTTAGACATTTGAGTTATAAAATATTACAGATTTATACAAACTTTTCTGGTAATTAAAATTTTAAATTTAAAATATACCTGTTATACTTTATTGCTTTTGTGATCTACTGTATTAGTGATCTAAAAAAGGTATAGTGATCCTGTTTACAGATTTTTACAAAGCAATTCCCAAAATTCCTGGTCAAATTCAGGCCGGAATTTAGCTCTAGTGGTTAGTACAGTAGGTTCTATAGCAAAATTATCAGCTAGGCATTTTTTACTTAATAAATAGCCACGATTTCATTAGTAAAATTCTTAGTGATTTTGGGCAAAATCAATCATTTCTGGCCCTGCCGACCAGGATTCCGATGCATTCCGACTAGGAATTTTGGAGATATTCCTGTATAAGTTTGTTTATAAAAGGAGATTCATTAATAGATATGATTTCACTTTTTGTATTACAAGTAGTACATTTGTTAAAATGTTTTAAAAATCTAAAAAATTATATTTCTAAAAAATTTTTATATACAAAAATCTGAT